GTCTAGCTCTATAAACTAAGTTGCCCATTAGCTTGAATTTGATTTAGGGTTTAATATTTCATTTAGAAATTTCTTAAATAATAGGTCTTACGACTCTCATTTAAAGTTGTCTGGTTATTTGGGTAGGACTGGTCTTATTGCTTCCCATTTAAAAATAGTTCAATGATTGGTCTTACAACCTAGTCATATAAGCTAAGCTACACATTAGCTTTGTTTGTTTAGGTTTTAAGATTGTTGTAATTTATTTAGCAATTTTTCTACATGTGGGTCTTACGACTTCACTAAGAGTTGTATGTTACAGGTCTTACAACTTAAACCCACAACAAGGTTGCCCATTAGTTTTATAGGACTTACTGCTTCCCATAAGAAATAACATGCTTATTTGTTTTATGGTAGATTAGACATTACCCATGGGTACGTTAACTTATAATTATTTGTTAGGTTGACACTAGATCTTAGCTTTCAGTTGTTTACTAACAGTTTGTTTACTAATTCGATACTTACTAGCCAGCAGTAGTTATCATTTTGATAGTACCCTTCTCTTTTTTCTTGTACCATTACCCTGCTTTACTTTCCTAAACCAATACCTGTTTTACTTTCCTGTGCCGGAATTTATTACTGGTTTTTTTTCTATTTAAGCATTTATTTAGGTATTAATTATTTTGTTTCTCTAATTGTAGGTGCATGGAATTTTGTACGTACGGAATTCATGTTGCTTCAGAGTTTGCTCAGGAACACTAGAGATAACAGGTGTTAGTGTTTTAGAGAGTTTGAGTTTGAATTTTATTTGGAGAACAATTGTTGATTGTATAGTGTTGAATTGGTATTCAGTTGTACAATCTTAGTGCAAACACCATTTTTTTGCATTTCCTTTATAGTTGCTTAATTAATTAATTAACTAACTAACCCAAATAAATGAATTTTTTAGTTAATTGCATTAATTAATTTGATTGCCCTCATTTAATTAATTAATTGGCTCTCAAATTTTAAATTGCTCTCGGATTTTAAATGCTCACAAATTTTTAAATTAACCAACCAAAAAAATTTAATGAATTTTAATTAATTAATTTCAATTAAACAATTAATTTTAATTAACTAATTTCAACTAATCAATTAATTTTGATTAATTAATTAACTTAAATTAATTTAGTTTTAATTAATTAATTCTAATTAATTAATGGATTTCCAAAAAATTAATTTCAATCAATTGATTAATTTTGATTAAGTAATTTCAATTAATTGATTAATTTTAATTAACCAATTCGATTTTAATTAATTAACTTTAATTAATCAATTAATTTTTATTAATTAATTTAATGCAATTAATTAATTTTCATTTATTAGTTTTAATTTTTATCAATTGATTAATCAATTAAAATTCAAATTTAATTGCTCTATAATTGGGTAATTTTCTGAGGCAATTTTGACAGCCTCCCAGCGTCCCCTCCTAATAGAGGGGGTTGAGACGACATTTGTCATTCATGCTTCCTACCCGGATAAGAGATCAACAGCGAAGGGTCTTCGAATTTTAAACCATTCTACCCGAATTAGAAATTGACGGCATTGAGTTTTCATACTTAAAATTCATCTCATCATGATCAAAGATTTAGCTGTGAAGGTCTTCGAATTTAGAATCATCCCACCTAGATTAAAGAATCAACGGCATAAGGCCTTCGATTTTAAAATTCATCCTTCCAGATCAAAGATCAATGGTGCGGGTCTTCAACTTGGCGAATGCATGCTTGCTTTATAGACAATAAAAATTATACAACTGATTATTTTACTTAAATGAAGTGATATTGTCAGTTGGCATAATCATGTATGCATAAAATAGAGATAAATAGTTCAACTGTTATTCAAAACTATATCAGATGAAAGCTAAGAGTTATTTTTGCATTGAGTGGTGATTTCAAGCGTTGGAGGCAGATCACAAGATGAACAAGCACTCATGACGTGAAGTCGTGTGAAGAAGTCAGTTTGGTGGACGGATATCTCGCTTACGCGAGTTATGCGGTCGCGGATGGTGTGCAGGAATAGGGAGAACGCACGGGATACGGCCTTAGGAAGCCGAGAGTGAATTGGATAGGGAAGTGGGCACGCAGCTTCGCATCTGGACTTAGAGAATGGAAGGTTCGGACGCAGCCAGGCGATAGTAGCACAGGCAGGGAGCCACGCGTGGGCTTTATAAGCAGATGGACGATATTGGGAGTCCATTCGGACAAAAGTGAAGGTTGCGGGTCAGCGTGTGGGCTTGAGCAGACGAGACTTCGGTGGGCTTGGTATGGTCCGACAAGTGGGTGCTTACGAACGGCAGAAATGAACGATGATAGGCTTCATGCATAAGGAAACAGAGAGAGAAGGAATTAGAGAAATTGAATGTGTGAGTTTCTTCTTTCTCAATTCTCTATCTTTTTTCTTGAGTAAATTGTTAAATGGCAGTTATTGAAACAAAGTATTGCCTCGTTTGGTATGAATCATTTGATGTGAGGCATGATTGGAGGAAACTCCGTGAAGAGGTGTTTTTCTTCTTTTTTTTGTCTTTCTCTCTTTTATTTAATTTAATTTATTTTCAATTAGTCAACAAATTGTCTCCCAACGAATTTTTTGTTTGATTTTCACACAATTAATTCATTGTAGTATCCCCGAACATTTGTAGCATTCATGTTCATTGTCATCCTTTTTTCCTTCTTTCAATCTTTTAGATTCAGTAAAGTAGCTTGACCCTTAGGTTTATAAGCAAATAAAATTTGTAGATATTCGATCTTTAGAATTGTTAATCTATGAATTTAGCTCGTCTCTTAGGTGAGCATAGTTTTAAGAAGTTTCGTCCTTAGAATTATTGAATCTTTTGAAGTTTAGCTTGACCCTTAGGTTTATGAGTATGAAAGATTTATAAGATTCGGCCCTTAGGCTTGTTGAATCAATGATATTAGCTCGACCCTTAGATTTGTGAGCATGAGAAGATTTAGAGTTTCAGTCCTTAGACTTGTTAATAGGCTCCTCCTTTATACATTATTTCAATAATGAAGGGTCATTGCCATATTGAGTCAAATTTACCACCAATATGAAGGTGAGGGATTATAGGTATTCGACAAACCAGAACAAGTTCACATTCCTTAAAGCTTCTAGAACGAATCATTCGAACATGAGCCCTAGTCATTCTTGCTTTGTAAGTTCTAGACTTTGTTGAGTTTGAAGTCGAACTTCATCAAGAGCTTCAAGTTCTCCAAGTAGTAGAAGATCATTTTCTTTTTTATTAATTTGTATTGAATAGCAATACGAAGAGATGACAACTCGACCTCGAGAGGTAGTATTGCCTCAGTTCTGAAAACCAGCGAATATGGGGTGACTTGAATGCAGTTTTATAAGTGGTACAATATGCTCATAGACAAATATTCTCCTCTAAAAATTTTGGAGTATTATTTTCATAAGTATGTTGATGAAAAATATTTATGAAAGAAAAAGTTGATTGAAATAAATGAAGAAGAAATAAATTGAGAGGCATTGAACTCCACACGATGAAGCAAGCGAAAGAGCAATTTGTTATGAAAACGACTAAAAAAAGACCCCCTCAGCGATGGCAGTGTAGATGATTTCTGAGTCGTCAATTATATCAGTTTTTTTAGGAATAGAATGTTGATGAGTAGGGAATTAAAAAAGAATGAATTGTTAAACTTCATGTTATAAGATATTTTTACGTGATTACTATATTTCATGTTGTTTTAATTTAGCAGTATTTGAATTTTAATTATATTTCACGTAATTTATCATTTTTCACTTTACGTTTTGTGTATTTTTTTATTTCATATATATGTCAATTTGTTACTTCATAGTTTAATAGAAATTTAATATGTCATTCTTTAATATATTATTGGGGTACTATATAAAAAATCGTTTTTAACCTTTTATTCACTTTACATAATTTTTGAATTTTGAGACTAACGTCACAAAAAGCTTTGAGTCTTACACCTCGCCTCACAAAAGAAAAACGCCTCAATTCCCAATTATGCAATTTTAACCTTGTCTACAACTATAGAAAAAAATTCTTCTCTTGCATGCATCCACATCCTTTGTTCCAAATGGGTTACAATAAATCTTATTTGATGAGATATCTTATAGCCATCTCAAAGGTATCTTATTCTTTAGCAATCTCAACTCCCCAAGGAAAATTCTCGAATCCCCATGTTGAGCTAAAGAGCTTTTCCCCTACTCTTATAGAGTTATATCATTCAAACAATTCAAAAAATCAAAATTTTTTGCAACCCGAGTATATTGTTTAGTACATCAAACTAGCCAAATCAAATAACATCACAATAAAATTCACCTTTCTTGAGTTCAACCTTCTCGAAATGGTTGATATTATCCCACATTAACTATTGACATTTGATAAGGTGTTGCTATGCTATGAACAATTCAATTGTGCTTGACCCTCCTCAATATAAAGTAATCTTAAAGTAATGCTTCACCCCCCCCCCACCACCACCACCACACACACACACACCACAAAAGCAACCCCTCCTCTCTCACTCTCTACAACCCTGTCCCTCTCCTTATAACTCTCTATCTCCAGGGCCACACTCTCTTTGGTTTCCCTTTCCTCATAATCCCCAAACCACATCGCAATATCTCATCCGTTCAACGTTTGAAGACGAATAAAGCACAAGTCTGCTGCAAATGTTCATCACATGGCTTATATTACTCATCTCAACAAATTGTATAAGAAGTAACTGAACAGCATAACCGATATTTCTCAAGATAAAATCAATACTAGTTTCCAGCCTTAGGAAACTATCATCAGCAAAACAAAGAAACTGTTAGCACACAAAATCTATAACAAAAGTTATAATTTTCTGCAACTGATGTGGTTAAGCAAACCATATTTCTACCTCAATGGATGAGAACCCATTAAATTAAGTTCAATCGCTGAAGCAAACACAAACCTAGGGCAAATAACGGAACAAATCCAAAGACGGAGAAAAAAACGTAGCCTTAAGTCTTACCTTGCCATATCGATATTCCAAAGAAGTTCTTGACGGAGATGCATGACAAGGACTGGAAACAGAAGCAGAGGCACGCGGTGAAAGATGTGCAACGGAATTGTAGCGACACGACGCGCCTGCTGTGGCAGAGGACGACTTCCTCTCCGCAATCTTTCTCATGGCATCTTGCTCCAGGAGTTCGAGCTCCTCGGCGCTGAAGTCCCAGTCATCTTCGAGACCAGCCATTTCTTCGTGTCTACTTCTCCGTGCTCCTTTTAGGGTAACCCATCGATCCAAGAAGGGGAAGAGGAAGTACGGGTGCCTTAGAGCTAGAGGATCTTGGTTGTTTAGTGTTTGAAAAGCCAACGGCCGCCTTGGGCTTTTGCAAAGCTAGGGTTGCAAGAGAATCGAGCTCGGTTCTATAAAACACGATCATTAAATAAATAAAATATTATTGTGTTCGGTTTATTTATATTCAAGATGAAAACATATTTTCATTTTAAATAGACAGTAGTTTTTATTATAAATTTAATTTCATTTTATTTTATACCTTGAATGAATGTATTCATGAACAATAGACATTTTACATTTGTCAATATTTGCTAGATTGTTTATGAAAGATTTTTATGAACAAATATAAGATGAATCATAGATCATTTGTTCGTGAATAAGCTCATTTGGTAGCTCGAAAATACTAGTTATGTATATATTCATGATCTTGCTCATTTAATAGCTCAAGAATACTCATTATATTCGTTCATGAACGTATTTGTTTGATAGTATAAAAAAATACACTAAATATGTTCACGAACATAGCTCGTTAAGACTTGTTTGTTTAAAACTCTTTAAACACTAAACGAATTGAACATGAACTGAACATGACCAAACATAAACACCATTAATTTAAACGAACCAAACATGAACACAAACAATAAAGCTCGAATCAAACACGAACCGAATTTGAACAAGCTAATAATAAATGAACTCAAATATGAACACTAACATACGCGGCTCGGTTCGTTTCATTTGCAGCCCTATGCAAAGCTAGTATCCACCAAAAGGGACTATATAATAATATAACGCACTAAGCTCGGTCATTTCACTCATTAGAACTTAGGGCTGCAAATGAGTATAATCTCGATTATATTTTATTCATTATCATTTATTTAAATAATTAAATAAGTTTAAATAATTTTTGAAATACTATGTTGTTAAATGAATAAATTTGAATAGTTAAATATTCGGTTCATTTAAGTGCATGAATAATATCAACTAAAGCTCGTGAACAAGTTCAATAAAAGCTCATTACGAAGCTTCTTTAAATCTTTATTTTTATAATTTCACATAATTTTTAATTTTACTATAATAAATTATTCTTATTATATGAAAGATTAATTACATTCTTAATATTATATTATTATTTATTAATTTGTTCATAAACAAGATGTATTTATTCATGTTTGTGATATTTTTGTTTAGAGCATTCTTGAACAAACTTGTTTATAAGAAGATTCATTTTATGAAATTTTTTGTTCGTAAATGAGCTCTTTTGATTGATAAAAAATACTCTCTAAATATAGGCTCAAGATGATTGTTAGTTAGTATGCTCGATAAGACTTGTTTGTTTTAAGCATAATAAGCATAAATGAGTTGAACATAAACAAAACATAAATATTAATATTTTTAAATGAACCAAGCTGGAATACAACCAAAAAGCTCGAATCGAGCTCGAACAAGCTCAAATATGAACAAGCACCAACTCGACTTGGCTCGGTATTTGAAGTTATGGTTATTAATTCAATTTGTATAACACAAAAAAACCATAAGTCAAAATCAATCAATTTGATTCAAAAAATATCACTTAGAAAAACATCATAATCAATATTTTAAATTAGTTGTTACAACCAGCAAAGGATCTATAGTGAGGGACATGGCGACACAGTTCTACTGCTACTGTATTTGAGATTTTATTATTTATGCACTGATTCAATGATTACATAAATATAACTGCTATGATTTGACTGTTGACATGCATATTGCTTATTTATTGTGCTTTGAATTCAATTATAAGTTTTGGTGATCTACTGGACTTTTTAGCTCATTATAAGTGATTAAATGATTTTAGGTCAGAATAGACGAGTAGGAGCGTGAGATTGATCAGTTTTTTTCATGTTTTGTTTCATTTTTTTTTTGTACTCAGGACAAAATAGTTGTGATTTGATTGTATAGATCATTAGTATTGTATGTATTTTTTAGAAATAAACATAAATGTGTATATTAATATTTTGAATTATATAATATATTTTGTTGTTTAATAGTGATAGATGATATTAGATAGTTTTAGTGTTATTTTTTAAAATATTAAAAAATAATTTTTCTAATTTAAATTCTAGGGCACCACATACTGGGGTTGCGCCATATAAATACGGCTTGGAAATGATATTAATTAAAAAAAACTAACATTAACTCTATTCTTATTCTAATAAATTACACATATAACTTATGAAGGTCTACTATGTTACATCATAAATTCACATATTAATTAAATTGTTTAACTTTATGAGATATATATATATATTACGGGCTAGAATATACGTGGTGGTAGAGTCAGAATTTAACATCTCAGCTTTGTACGAATATTCATGACATAAACAGAGAATACAAGATTTTTTATGTGGAATATTCTAAAAAGGGGAAAAACTACAGGGCCACACCCAATTGAAATGATTCAACTAGCGTTCGAGTAAATTACAATTGAGTGAATCGTCCTTGAGGAATATTAGATTATAATAATCAACCGTCTAATTGATTATCTAGTGACAAACAGGGGTCGTGGGCAAATCTGATGATGTTTGGTCGGGCGGAAGTCTAGCATCAGTTGGTGGTCCAGTGAAAGTTTGGGCATCGATCTGTGGTCATGAGGAAGTTTGGGTGTCAGTTGGTGGTTTGGTGGAGGTCAGGTGTCAATCGGTGGTCTAGCGAAAGTCTAACGTCAGTGGTCCGGTGGAAGTTCGAGCATCAATTGGTTGTTCGACGGAAGTCAGGTGTTAGTCGGTGGTTCAATGGAGGTACGGGCGCTAATCGGTGGTCCAACAGAAATCTGGCGTCATTATGTGGTCCAGCGGAAGTCTGATGGTGGTCGAGGAGGAGCTAAGTGGCAAGAGTGATCTCTGATCTCTCTTTTTTCTTCCTTGCTTGGAGGTCCTTTTTCATGAGAAATGAGAGGTATATTTATAGATTTCTGAGAGTGACATAACCAGAAAATAGGAGAAAGGTCAATGGTAAATTGGGTGTGATTTGAATGAATGGTTGATGTTGATTCCCTTGATTGTGGACCATTTACTGGACATTTGAATGTCTTAATGATATCAGAATTTAGCAATCTTAGGCTCATTAGATTTTTCTTGTCAAGCCGCTCAATTCGAATATAAGCATGTCATGTTTGGAAACCATTTGGTAAACCAAATTACGGTTTAAACCTTCCAAATGTGCTTCGGATCTTTGATTTGGACTCATTTGGTCTCATATTGAGTCGAATTTGGTGTCGTTGGGTTCGTATTTCAAGACGCTCACTTTGATAGTAAGTTTGTTGAAATCGGAGTACGAATCATCCCAATTTTAATTTTGAAAGTTTTCAACTTTATTTTTCCTTGAGATTCATTCCCAATCAAGATAATTTTTTGATGATATATATATATATATCATTATGAGTTGTATATATAAGTTGTATGTTGAAGGGAATAAGCTTAGCCAACTGATTATATCTCTTCTATTATAGATTGGGTCATTATAATTTATATTAATATTAGCCATGCTACATCTTGGAATATTCATTGCAGTAGGGAGATATAGAGTTTAGCATCCTAACTTTGTATAAAAATTCAGCACACAAACATATAAGAGAGAGGGGTGCAACATTCCTAAGAGAGAACATTGTGTTTATATAGAAATCTCTAAAAAGAGGAAAAAATCATGAGGTCTGGCCTAGTTTGAATGAATCCACTAATGTTTGCTATTGATTACAAATTATGTCCTTCCTTAGGGGAAGGCTCTAGTTAAGTTTAACAAATATACATCATATAATGCATTTGATATGGTTGGGACTGGAATAATCCAATGTTATGAGAGTTGTTCTTAAGAGAGTGTTATCTTGTTCATTTGGATGGCAGAATCATAATTGAATAATGATGGTCAGAAGGACCGTAGTCGAGAAGAGATGGAGGTTAGAAGGATCGTGGTCAGGTGATGGTGGTTGGAGGGACCGTAGTCGGTGGAAAACTGAGGTCGAAAGGACTACAGCTGAGAGACGGTGGTCGAAAGTGTTAGGAAAGTTGTTATTTGCATGTTTTACATTCTTGCAACTTATATAGTTTTGATGATTCCAAACATTATTGTTCAAATGTGTAGTTATCTCCTAACATTTTTTGGAAGAATTGTATTTGCTCTTGACTCAACAAGTTAACAGAAAGGACCGTAGTCGGGCAAGGGTGGTTGAAGGGACCATAGTCAATGGATGATGGAGGTCAGAAGGACCGTAGTCGAGCGATGGTGGTTTAAGGGACTATAGTTGGTTGGAGTCGAAGGTTAGAAGAATTGTAGTTAGACAACAATGGTTGGAGGAATTATAGTTTGTGGGAGACTGAAGTCAGAAAGACGATAGTTGGGTGATGGCTGTCAAGGGGACTATAGTCGGGTGACGTTGGTTGGAGAGACCATAATCAATGGTGTTGGTCGAAAAGATCGTAGATAGTCAACATTAGAGGAAGGCTCGTCGATGGCTACCAAATAAGGTCCAATGGCGATGGTCAGGGGGAGATTCAATAGTGGCAGCCTGGTGGCGCGGATTTGTCAGCGATGGTGTCGAGGTGGAGCTCAAGGATTCTTCAAGCCTGGTAGTTCTTCTCTTATTCCTTCTTTCCCCCTCATGTGAAGAATGAGGTATTCTTTATAATTTTTTGGGAGTGGCATGGCTAGTAAATATAAAGAAGATCAAGGGCATGTTAGGAGTGTTCTATCGGACGGATGATAGTAGCTCCCTTGATCATAGAGCATTTATTGAGCAATTATATGCTGCAACGATGTCAGCATTAAGCGATATTGTGCTTGTTGGATTTGTCTCAGTGATTCATCTGATTTTACTATAAACATGTTATATTCCTATATCATTTGATCATTCAATTAATGCTCTGAATCTTTCAAGTAGACTCTGATCCTTCGATTTGGGCCAATTTGGATACGGATTGAACTGAATTTAGTGTTGATACGGCATCACAAAATTAGCTTGATCGGGCACGAATCTCGAGGCGAAAGCTAGTTGGAAACTTCAAAAATTAAATCCGGGAGTATATGAACTCTGATTTCAGCGAGCTTACAGCGCCGCGAATATTCCAGTACGCAACAAGTGTCATTGTGTTAGTCACCTTGAGATGATCAATTTGATTATAAGTTTGCTGCATTTGGAGTTCGGATGATCTCAAATTTATTCTCGAAATTTCAATTTTATAGATGCGCTTTTTGTTGACATATCAAGCCATTTTTGTAGTGCATGATGTATGATATTGTAACATCCCAATTTTTTTTTTTTTTTTTAAGGCCGACGCCAAACTCGCTGCTGTTCCTAATCTGTTTCTCACATTATAGACTAGCGAAGAATTTGGTCGATACAGTGAAGGCGATTAACAAGATGTCAATTAAATAATCTCAATCTATTACACGCGGCATTTATTAAATTCATGGATGAGCTGTCGGCAAGCACATATCCATTCCTCTTTATACAAAAGTAATTAAAGTAAGGATTCCTAATTACTATTTTCTTCTTTTATCATTACATAGAGTGGGAGGAGTAATATCGAAGCTACGCGTCCACCGGCTCTCACGCGCTCTGCACGTGTCCTATTCCACTTTCCCTTCCTCCTTATAACCCCGTCTTTATAACCAACCAACCCCTACGAAGAAGAAAGAATCCGAACAAAATATCTGTTTCCCTTTCTCTGCTTCAGTTTCTCAGAAAGAAAAAAAAATAATGGCTGATGGAACAGCAAATTGCGTCGACATAATCTTAGCAATTATCCTCCCTCCACTCGGCGTCTTCCTCAAATTTGGTTGCAAGGTATAAATATAATTTATAATTGTCAGATAGATGAAGAATTTGTAAATAATTTGTAATTGTTCTTTTGCAGGCTGAATTCTGGATCTGCCTTCTTCTCACCATATTAGGATACTTGCCAGGAATCATCTACGCTGTCTATGCAATCACCAAGTAATTAAAGCACTGTTGGAGCAGATTAATGGATGCTTACTGTTTTTTAGATCTCGCGCGGATTATGATCGGCACTTTTTAGTTTTGTTTTTCATATCATGTAATTGTTGGTGTTGCTATTTGATCTCTCTCCTTCCATGTTTGTTTATATATATTCTGTTGCAATTGATAGTTTTTTTTTTTGGGAATTCAAGTTTTGTGTTGTAATCGATCTTATTAATTATATAATTTAAGTTTTTAGCCGTTTGATGTACTTGTTGAGATTGAAATAATTTCTTGGGTATGGAGGATTTCAAAAGTTGACTTGATTTGATAATAAATTTTTTGTTTAGGGTTTAGGTCAGAAAATTTTCAATTGAATCCAGATCATGCGTACGTGATTTTTTAGTTTTTAATTGTTAAAGAACTAAATTAATGTATGTGAATTACTTTATGTTATAATTTATTCATTTATATGGCCAATTCGATAAGAGTAATGTCGTGGAATGGTTTTTTCAGTTTTATTTAATGAACCCTAAATTAAAATAGAAAGAGCGACTCAAATAATTTTGTTTATATATATGTAAAATTTAATTAAGGGTATTTTGAAGATAAGGAACTTAAATTCATATTCCCTTATTAAAAGGATTTAATATTCCTGGACATACTAATATAAATTATAATAACACAATCTATAATAGAAGAGATATATTCACTTGACTAACCCTATTCCCTTCTACATACAGCTTATATATACAACTCATAATGATATATATATATATATATACAATCAAAAAATTATCTTGATCGGGCACGAATTTTGAGGCAAAATCAAGTTGGAAACTTTCAAAAAAATTGGGACCATATGAACTCTGATTTCAACAAACTTACAGTCGAATTGAACGTCTTGGAAATACAAACCCAACAACACTAAATTCAACTCAATCTGAGCCCAAATGAGTCGAAATCAAAGTCCCAAAGCACATTTGGAAGGTTCAATCCATAATTTGGATTATCAAACAGTTCCCAAATGTGGCGTGCTTATAGTCGAATCGAGCAGCTCAATCAGACGAATCCAACAAACCCAAGATCATCAAATTTTGATAACATTAGAAACTTCAAATGCCTAATAAATGGTCCGCGATCAAGAAATTCAATATCAGTCATCCATTCAAACCACTGCCAATTTACCCCTGATCTTCCTCTTATTTACTAGTTATGTCATTCTCAAATACTATAAGTAGACATCTCATTTTTCTTGATAGGGGAGCCCAAGAAAGAAAAGAAAACAAATAATAACAGAAAGGAAGGAAGAAGAGACTCCTCCTCGATCACCGCGGACTTTCACCGGCAATTGACCGATGCTGGAATTAAGCAAGGAAGCAAGAAGAGAAGGAAGAAAAGGAAGAGAAGGAAGAGATCCTCCTCGATCACCGCCGGACTTCCACCCAACTATCAACTAACATCACAATTCTGCCCAACTATCGACTGGCGCCGAAGTTCTGCCTCACAGCCGATTGAAGCTGGAATTCTGCCTGATCGTCACCTGACATCGGATTTCTGCCCGACCACTCAACATCGTTGGATTTTCGATCTTTGTTTGTATCTGAACTTCAATCTAAGATTATTGTAATCTGATCGTCCTCAGCTTCAGGTTCGAGTTAGTCACTTATAACCTAAGCAAAAACTGGTAGGATCCTTTCAACTAGGCGTGTCCCCCATGATTTTTTCCTTTTCCAAGATTTCCACGTAAAAATTTTGGTGTTACATTTTTCTTCTTTTTTTGTGTTGTATATCCGTACAACATTGAGACAAAAAATTTTATAATTATATCGCCGCATTTATTCTAGCCTGCAACAGTTTGACGCCGTTTGTGAGAACACTATGCCACAATTCTAAATATTACTTTGATAGCCAAAAGGCGTAGCAATTATATTTTTAGGAGCATCCCTCTCCAACACACATCAATCTAGGAACCAATCTATAAATTATAGACGTCCAGTATCTGCCTATTTTTATCCTGTGGGACAAAATGCTGCTGGAGAATGAACTTCAGAGTCTTCCCTAAAAAAGCGTATTCAAAAAATAGAAGAATATCAAAATGAGATCCTTCAACTCCCGCGAGAGACTCAAAAATTGGTGCTAGCACCACATGAGGAGATTCTTCTCCCTCAAGATTCACCACCGGCCAAAGGTATTCAACTTAAACATATTCATGCAGAGATTCCTCTTCCTCCTCAAAGGAGATATCCATAATCACATCAAGACCAAGACCTTGCTGACACAGCAAGTTCTACCCCCTTCACACACATGTAGGCAACCTCACATTCCTTCGGACCTCCCCGAAGACTTAGCCAGAGTGCGCGTTGTTGAGCTCCTTGCAACACCCTACATCATGAACTGCGAAGATTGGTCTGAGAAGAGTTCCCCATGGAAGGTGTAAGACAACCTCTTCGTTAGTGGGACTTCCATGATTATCTCTCCTGATTGAAGTCATTCTTTATAACCCCATTCTAGTATGATTCAAACTACTGAGCATCAATTCCTACAATAGGACATATGACCCATTTGAGCATATCGATCAATACAGAATCATCATGCATATCTAGTGAGCCTTAGACACACTCCTCTGAGTTATAAAGAAATTATTACTTTGCCAACTAGTAAAGAGTGACGATTTTATTTATTGAGCCAACGATTTACTAACATTGATACTAACACTAAAAAATATTGTAATAGCCAGGACTTTGTACTTATTTAGTGTGAATACTAAAATGCATATTTTTGATAAAATGTTCTTATTATTTTATAGATTTATTGTTATTGCACAAATTTACTATTATTGCATTATTCTACTGCTCCTACCACTAGATTGTTACTATTACTAATATAAATAATGTTACTATTTAATCCTACTAATTTATTGTACTAATATTAAGCATGTGATATAGAATATCTAGATAGCATATGTGTATTCCTATATAATTTTATTACATTTATTTGATTTTAACAATCTTTATCGATATTTTAATTTGACACTTTATATGATTTTTACACTTATTGATATTACAGATATAACGATTGCTTTATATATTTGACACTCATACTAATTCTACTACTAATACATTTGAGTTTTATTGTTCTTATACTTATTCAATGATCATATGAATGTAACTACTATAATTTGAATGTTCACATGCATATTGCTTCTTTATCGTGCTTTGAATTTAGTTGTAGGTTTTGGTGACCTACTGGACTTTTTAAGCTCATTATATATGGGTAAATAATTTCAAGTCAGGGCAGGAGAGCAGAAATATGAGGCTGATCAAGATTCTTCAAATTCTATTTATGTTTATTTTTTTCTACTAAGGACAGAGTAGTTGTAATATGATTGTGTAAATCCTAAGTAGTGTATACTATTTTTGGGAATGAATATAGATATGCACATTAATATTTTGAATTATAGAATCTATTTTATTATTTATTACTGATAGATGATATCATATATCTCTAGATGTTGTTTATTAAAAGATAAATAAATAATTCTTCCAATTTAGATTCTGGGGCATCAAATCATTGCCCTTGGACCTTCATTGTCTAATCATTTCCATCAAGCCTTTACCCTCCAACCACTAGTATCCTTCAACGACAATGGTCATTTGATCCCCTTTATTTAACTACGATCTTCCAACCACCATCTCTCATGTAATACCCACTTGTATGGTAATTTGATTACTTGTTGACCCGAATAGGACATGATAAAAATTTTAAGTATGATTGGTCTTATTGACCTTTGAAATATTGAAAAAGGAGCTTAAGGATTGAACTTGGAATGAAAACTTTATAAGGACTAAATTGCCCTTGATGGCCCTATGACACTTGTGTGGGAAGTGCTACGATGCTAAGCTCTCTACATATTGTAATAAAATATAGACTATTGGGAACACTGTGGCACCGGTCATGTGACCTTCTTTGTTTAGTGGACAGTGCTTAGGAGCACTACAGCAATGCAGTCTTGGGTTATGGAAAGTTTCTAGATAATGGAGAACTCTTGGAAGTGTAGTGTCATTGGGTAAGGTAGCAACATAACACTAAGCACTTTTAAGAGTTTTTATATAAATATCTAAATCCACTCGCCCTCGTCCCATATTTCAATCCATTTGCTAAAGAGAAAAGATAAGAAGAATAAGAAGGAGAAGAGAAGAAAAAGAGAGAAAGAGGGGTTCGAGGCCATATAGCTGGTTTCGTCCATCGAGCGAGTTAGAAAAAAAATCTTTCTTTTAAGGTATGTGACACTTACAATATATATGTTGTCAGTGATTTTAATTTCTATTAGATTTTTGAATTTTAAATTAATTAAAAAATAAAAAAGATGTGATATCTTGATTTTTGACAAACCTTTATCATATAACTTAGCATGTTGTAGATTTTATTATTTAACACATTCTGAGATGGTCATATTGATATTTTATCAAATTGTTTTGCATTTGATGCATAGTCTTTAAGAAAGATAAGATAAATATGCACACAAAATTGATCAATGACTATTGCATTGAGATTGTGTAAAATGATTTGCATGCATAGTAGATTGACATAATATGCAAAAATAGTGACAAGACACGCATATTTAATATGATATGTAGAATTGACATGGTATAATTTAATTGGCTATAACATGCATATTTACATTGATTTATATGTTGGATAAGCATTTATGAAAATGAGAATAATATATTTACTATAAAATACCATTATAATGATTTACATGATTCTACTTATGCATAATAAATAGATCTGCATGCTTATCTATCATGAAATGAGTGCATGCAAGAAAGGCTAGCTACTGAATAATTCTAATTCACATTGGAAAAGATACGTTATGATACCATGTACAAGAGGGTGAGCTGATGGGTATTCCTTAAAATGAACGCATTACGTGATATGATGGGATGCATAAGGTGAAAAATCTAGGGTTACCAACTAGGGGACCCTTAGGCTTATATATAGAGTGGAGGAAAGTGGAAAGTTAGAAGGACAACAAGGCGATGTATGCTACTAACTTGCCAATTATATATATAAGTGATGTTGGGAATATGGTGGAGGGAAGGTGTAGGATAAAGTGGAGGAGGAGAAGGGGAAGAAAGAGATTAGGGATGAAACTTCATTTATTGACACAAAACCTTTAAATATAGAGATAGAGAAGGCAAGGTATGTAATCTTATTTTTTGCTATGATGCATCTAGAAATGGAGGCCTAGAAAGTAGAGGACGTAACCTCATATGTAGAGACTGTATATAAGAATCATATACCATTAGTAGGGAATAAGCAAAATCCACATAAGTGCAGGAAATATTTTACTAGGGATTTCATAACATTGAGAACAGAGGCACAAGTTGATTAATACAAGTATCATTGATTCACTAAGCCCCATTGATCAAGAGTAGCTGCTACCTTCAATACTTGAATATTAATAGAGCTAATAACTTAGAGGAGGTGCTAGAAGCAGGCATTAAAGATTCAATGTGATTTTAACACTTGAATACTATAATACATAATTAGATAAATAAGGTCATAAATATTTTACTTTATTGAATGTATGATAAATTAAGGAGTTGATGAGCGACATTAACCTTCTATGTAATAGGATGCGCTAGCAAGAGTGAGAAGTGGCCAAGGTCAGTGGCTTCATGGTTTGATGGTTTTGCCAATTGGATGACTTCAACTGCCTAACGAGGCTGATGGGGAGGAGGGTGAGTGAAGGAAAAAGGAGAGGAGGCACTAATATCCCATTCTTTTTCCTCTTCTTACCCCCACACTCTTCTTCATCAATTTGATTTAGGTAAATCTAATACCAAACTTGCTCTGTTGTCTCTTTTATTGAATTGAGATGCCTTCAGGTTGTATGTATTTTTTCTAGGTGAAGTTTATATGGATCATATTGTGTTTATATTTTTGTTGCTAACACTTTTATTGGTTGCATTTAGTAATAATAAAAATATTTTTATATAGTAGGGATATTATCAACCCGCAAGAGATTTCACTACTTTACTCTCAAGGGAATAATAAAAGAATTATGAATTATGTATAGTCATAATTGATCATATTTATAACTTTCAAATCCCTAAAACCAAACTTGCTCTACACATTTATAGTTTATTCTAGGTGGATATATGTTATTTATTTCGTTAAGCAAGTACAGTTTTGATAGACACTTAAGATGAAACTATGCACAAATTAAAATTTTTATATGATTTTGTTTAAGATGTTAAATTGAGAGATTTGAGACATTTTATTCTATATCATCTTTTTTGTTGGATTCATTTAATCATATATGTTTTAAACTTTATTTTTTAATCATAAATTTCAAATTTATAACTTCAAAAGAGCTTGACATATACTAATTGTTGCGTCCTGGAGTATTCGCGGCGGTAGAGAAATATATGGTTTAACGTCTTAGCATTGTACGAAGATCCAGCACACAAGCAGATAAGTGAGAGGGTGTAGCATTCATAAGAGACACCAGTCCGGCGGCCGTCGAGGAGGAGCTTCCTCCTTCATTCCTCCTTCACTTCTTGCTTCGGCCTCCCTCTTATGAGAAATGAGGGCTCTATTTATAGATTTTCTGGAGTGGCATAGCCCGTAAATAGGCGTGAGATCAGGGGCGAATAGGGAGTGGTTGAATGGACGATCGATATTGAATCCTACGATTGTGCACCGTTCGTTGGCCATTTGAATGTCTTAGTGATGTCGGAATTCAGTGATCTTGGGCTCGTTGGATTCGTCTCGTTGAGCCCTTCGATTCGAGTATAAGCTCGTCAAAATCGAAGTCCGTTTGGTAACTCAAATAGTGGTTTGAACCTTCCAACAGCGCTTCGGATCCATGATTTGGACCCATTTGGGCTCGGATTGGGTTGAACTTGGTATCGTTGAGTTCATATTTCTGAGTCGCTCAATTTGATTGTAAGCTCGCTGAAATCGGAGTTCATGTGATCCCGGATTTAATTTTTGAAGTTTCCGGCTAGCTTTTTGCCTCGAGATTCGTGCTCGATCAAGATAATTTCAAGATGACGTATCACTAATGATTCTACATATATATTTAATTTAACTCTATAAATGTGATTAAAATACTTTATATTAGAGGAATCCATTTTTTATTTATTAGAAGAAACTATTTATGTATTGAGAATACATACATGCACACACAATGTACATATGCATATATTATATAATAAATACATAACGATAACTTATAAGAATTAAATCTTAGAAAGTATTAAAATTTTATCAAGCTATGACTAATGTTAATTGATTTATATAATACTAATGAATTAACTGATGTTTGAGATTGCTTGTGAAATGCAATCTACTTATGATGTTAGTCTAATAGGCGGCTCTTGATAAAGGGATAAGTGCACCCTTTCTTGTTAGGGGCATATCTCTTGCTACTTATTGGTACATTTTAATGATTGATAATATATGGTAAAAAGAGTTTATTTATTCATAAAATTTTAAATGATCATTTTGACCCAATCAAATACTTAACTTTGACGTGTAATCATTGTATAAATTCCTAAGTAATTTCACTTACTTTGTTCGGATTGATGTGAATAATTATTGCCTTTACAAATCATAAATTATGTAATATATATAATTGATTTTAATTATATTATATCCTTTATTGAGAACTATTACTGCAATACAAAAATATATATATAGTATATGATTGTATATATGATGAATAGAATTAAGTATTAAGCTTATTTGGATATTGGCTAGCTAGATTGATAGGTCTATAAAGTGATAGCTCTGTAGGAAATTTTTGGATTTCTTTTAGATGAGTGCCTACTTTTCCATGAAGGTATTGTAGTAAACCATCTATAAACATATATACATTGATATAAAGAGAAAAATGATAAATAATTAATGAGTCATATGTGTATGTATAATTACAACATGTTTGTAAGTGAACATTTTTGCATGTGAATATAATAGTTATTAGTTGACATAAACAATTTTTTATGGACTCTGCTATATGATAAGCACTATTAAATAGTTTTCATAATAAAAATATAATCTTTTATATATTTAGTGTAACTATTGCTGCATAATATTTATTTTTTACTCATACAGTCATATCCCTCTTTGCTCATATTTCTATCACATGTCATATCTTTATATTTTATTCAGCAGAGTTTCATCTACGTAGTTTGTTTCTTGTAAACTCATTCCTATTACTTCATGATTTCAATTTACTAAATGCACAACTTCTAAAGGAGCTTTTAAGTTCAAGCTTTAAATTCATCTTTGAAAGACATTTAATGTTGAAATTATTAAACTAATTTAATAGTATAGTTTATTTTAATTTATATTTTGATAGATATTTAGTATATGTTTTGAGTTTAGAGGCTCATATAATTTTGCTAATGGACCTAAATAATTGAAGTCATATATTTCCACTAATTGGAACTATTTCTATGTTTTCTTAGCTCACACCTTCCATTGGGTTTTTGTGATTTACTGTTAGGTCGGATGTTAGGGTGTGCCTTTATATTTCTTAATAAGGGAGCAAATATGATGCTACCCAAAGATTTGAACCATGCATGATTTTGTTGGATGAACAATTTGATTAGTGATGTATAATAACAATTGCCACATGCTATAAGTCAAAGAGAAATGAATCTTTCAAATGGATTGAAGACACCATCATGAATGCTATTGGTGACAGAGACAAGTTCCTGAAGACATGGCATGATGCATAGTTAATAATTTTTTAAATGAACTTGAACCAAGTTTATTGGATATTTTGTGATCTCAATTCTGCGTAAAGTTATATGATACTGAGGGTCACTATATATGAGGTTCCCAAGGCTGATGTAAGATAAGCAAGTTGAAACTTTAATAGAAACTAATCATAATTGAAATAGTTCTTCCATATAGTATAATGTGTCATTTGTATCTTATTTGTAGCAACAATTGTGAAGTGCATACAATACAATATATCATATACCTAGTTTCAAATAAAAGTCTTTTAAAAGTTAAATTTGATCTCATATTTTTTATATGAATCATAAATGTGTAGATTTATTTTACAAAAATATTAATCCACATGCCTAATTAAACATCATATCCATAACAATTACTAAATTATAGTTCTTATGTTATACTTACTGCGTATATTACACACATATTCTTTTATTCATTTATTAAACTAGAGGATGTTGTGGATGAATATTCCGTTTAATTTATGGAATATTAAGGAATTTATAAATTAGTTTATAGTATTATTGTATTATAATTCTTATCACTGTCTTATAAGATTCTTATTAGATCTTGCGTGTGTCTTTAATGTTTTTATTACTACTCAATATGCTATTGTAATACATTTATCTTATAAGAACTTTATTATAATTTGCTTGAACTTATGATTGAACTTATACTCGAATATTTTCAATCAAAGCAAAATATAGTGCATATGTGTTGAAGGGTTGATAAAAATTTTCAATGAGTTTCAACTATTTTATAAAATTTTCATATAATATCTTTTGAGCATCTTTTGAAAACATATTCAAATTAATGGTTGAATCTATTTTCGATCTTTTATCAATCATTTCAAACTATTTAAAAGATTTGCAAAAGAAAAGTCAATTAAGTATTTAAATAAATTTTAATTTTTTAAATAAATTTAAAAATAATGTATCAATCATATTCAAACTTTATTCAACACTATTTTGAATATTATATTGAGCGTTGAGTTGTTTAAAAAGATGACAATCTTATCAGAATAAAACTTTCAAATTTACTTCTCCAATAAGAAAAAAAAAAAAAAAAAAACCATATCTCCAATTTCAAACATCATTGGGCATACAAATCAAGAAATTCATTTTAATAAATGCATTTCTTAAAAAAAAAACTAAAATATTAATGCAAAGCGAATCCATTGAGCATCTTCTATCTAACGAGACCATCCAGCCACGTGGTCTTTAAGATTCCCACAACGGAAAAATTTTCACCGTGGGAAGAGAGATGGATCCGGGCTGACATACAAACCTCTTCAAAACCCTCGTAGCAGCCGTCTCTTATATTTCCCCCTTCTTCCTCCTACAAACCCTAATCATAGCTACGAAAATCGACGCTTCAAAACCCTAAACCGAACTATGTCTACTCCGGCGCTCATCTCCGCTTCTCCCAATTCGGAGAAGAAGAAGAAGAAGAAGAAAGAAAAGAAAGATGCCAACTTTGTCGATGCAGTGGATGCCTCCCACGCCGGCCATAGCTCCATCTATACGGTCACCGATGTTGCCGGCGGCGATATAGATCCTTACTCTCAAGACTACTTCATAAAGCCCCAATCTTTTACCCCTACTTTGGACACATCCAAGTGGCCGATCCTCCTTAAGAACTACGACCGCCTAAACGTCCGCACGGGGCATTACACCCCTCTCCCCGCGGGCCACTCTCCTCTCAAGCGTCCCCTGGAAATCTATATCCGCTATGGCATCATCAACCTCGATAAGCCATCCAACCCCTCGTCTCACGAGGTCGTTGCTTGGATAAGGCGCATTCTCCGTTCAGAGAAGACTGGCCACAGTGGAACCCTCGATCCCAAAGTAACGGGAAATCTCATTGTCTGCATCGATCGTGCCACTCGCCTCGTCAAATCTCAGCAAGGAGCCGGCAAGGAGTACGTTTGTGTTGCTCGCCTTCATTCCGATGTGCCCGACACTGCAAAGGTTGCACGAGCACTAGAAACCCTCACTGGAGCTGTCTTCCAACGTCCTCCGCTCATATCGGCTGTCAAGCGGCAACTCCGGATTCGAACAATCTATGAAAGCAAGCTCCTTGAGTACGATGCTGAAAAACACCTTGTTGTTTTCTGGATTTCATGTGAGGCCGGTACGTATGTTAGAACTCTCTGTGTTCATCTCGGACTCATCCTTGGAGTCGGAGGACACATGCAGGAACTAAGAAGAGTGAGGTCTGGGATCCTGGGGGAGAGAGACAACATGGTTACCATGCATGATGTTCTTGATGCCCAATGGGTGTATGACAATTTCAAAGATGAGAGCTATTTGAGAAGGGTGGTGATGCCGCTTGAGGTCTTACTAACAAGTTATAAGAGATTGGTTGTAAAGGACTCAGCTGTGAATGCTATTTGTTATGGAGCTAAGCTGATGATCCCTGGACTGCTTAGATTCGAGAATGATATTGAGGTTGGGGAAGAAGTTGTGCTGATGACCACAAAGGGAGAGGCGATCTCTCTTGGCATTGCCGAAATGACTACTGCTGTAATGGCGACCTGTGATCATGGAACTGTGGCAAGAATCAAGAGGGTGGTCATGGACAGAGATACTTATCCAAGGAAGTGGGGCCTTGGGCCAAGAGCATCTATGAAGAAGAAGCTAATTGCTGAAGGCTTGCTTGATAAGCATGGGAAGCCGAATGAGAAGACCCCAGCAGAATGGCTGAGGAATGTGGTGTTACCAACTGGAGGGGATGCAATGATTGCTGGAGCTGCTGCTGCTCCAGCAGCAATTACAGCTCCTGTTGTTGTTGCAAAGGTTGAAAATGAGCAGCTTTTGGAGGAAGGGAAAGAGAAGAGGAAGACAAAAAAGAAGCACAAGGATGTTGATGGTGGAGGTGAGAGGCGTAAGCATAAATTGGAGAATGATGGTGATGATGCCACTGTACCTGCTAAAAAAGTTAAGACTGAAACTCAAGATGAAGTGGCAGGGACTGAGTCAAAGACTTTAAAAACCTTGAAGGAGGATATTGTGAAGTTGGCTAAAACTGAAGATGGAGTTGCTGGAGCCGAGGCAAAAACTTTAAAAGCCTCAGAGGAGGATGCAGTGGAGTTCGAAGAGAAGAAAGCCGAGAAAGACAAAAAGAAGAAAAAGAAAGACAAGGAGAAGGAAGATTCCTCGAATGAAAATAATAGTGTAGAGAAAGAGAAAAGGAAGGGTGAGAGTCTAAAAATTAAGATTGAGCTAGAACCTGATATTGTGGAGAAGGCAGATGAGAAGAAAAATAAGGAGGAGAAGAAGAAAAAGAAGAAGAGCAAAGAAGTGCAAGATGGTGTTGCAACTGATGTGCCTAATGCTGATCTTGGAGCAGACAATGGAGGTGGAGAAAAAAGAGAGACAAAAAAGGATAAGAAGAAAAAGAAGAATATTGAAGAGAAAGCAGAGCAGTAGGATTTAGTGAATTATTCTCAACTTATGAGGAGCTAAATTGGTCTTTCTTTTGTTTGGTACTGTCTGTGCTCTACATCTTTCAGTAAACTTTTAATTGTTAGTTTTGCCTTCCAAAACTTCACATTGCTTGGAAATTATTTTTGTTTTGAGGTTCCATAGTATTGTTTTCCATCATTGTTGGAAACTTCACATTGTTGTTTTGAAACTTGACTATTCTTTTGATATCATGATAATGCATATCTTTTCAGGCATTCCATTGTTAATTGAATTAACTAAAATGACAATCTTTTGCAGCTGATGGGATGTTTTGTTTTTGTTCTTAGGCAATTTTTCTTGGATGGATGAAGATGAATTATACAGTGGGCATGCCAACATGAGAATGCATATTGTAGCTCTTCTTCAGGCCTCTTTCGGATTGACACAGACAAATAGTGCAGAGGTCTGGATATGCAATTTGAATGATACTCCGAGATGTCTTTGTCCAGCTTGAAACTTCTTCTATATATTTATCGCTGTAATCATGTTGTTTGTATTTTTGTTTTTCTTCTCTTCGGTGATTTTTCCCAGTTTGAATTTTGTTTATTTAGAACTTTCACATGCTGCTTTGTTGTAAACTGTCCGTATATTCTTTTTGTTATAGTTGTAATAGTAATGTTGTACTACTTTTCAATGCAAGATAATGGGAGTAGTTTTGCTCCACTCCCGATGTGATAAAAATGGGCTGAGAAGCTTGTTTCGGTCTCACCTATGATTTCTTTATTTCTTTGCAAAGCTATTTGGAATTGTGCTACTGTTTGGCGCATGATGTTAACAGTTTCTGGACAAGATGTTAATAATTATCATTTAACATTATCTGAAGATAAAAGTATATTAATTTGATAGATTTAAGTATCTTATATCTATTATAAAAAAGAAAAAAAGTTCTAGAATTAATTGTTGTGATTTGGTCTAGTTTTATGTTATGTTGTTCCTTAGGTTTAGATTCATTTCGTTTTTCCTAGTAGTTTCATTCTTCTATAAGTAGAGAGACTGTATTAAAGATAAGTAAAACCAAACAATATTATTACAATTCATTTTTGACTTTCCCCCCCCCCTCCCCCCCCTCCCTCTCTCAATCCAAGAAGAGCGAGGAGCTCCCCCCCTCAAGAAAATCCCAACATTAATGTTGATGGAGAATGTCTTGGAAGTTTTGTGTGATAAGAGGATATCATGGAGGTTTAAAGTTAAATTTTATAGAATTATAATTAGGCCAGTAAAATTGAATGAATTTGAATGTTGGGCTATAAAAAAAAATGTTTTCTAACTCGAGTATGATATAAATGAGAGTATTAAGCTGAATATATAATGAAATTAAGAAGAATAAATTAAAGAATGATTATATGAAATGAAAGATTGGGTCTATTAAAATAATGTGATTGAAAATAGTCTATGAGAGGGTAGATAATAAGCTTGTTTGTTGAAGTGATTAAATTGGTATAAGAGAATTATGAAGGAAAATTGGCACACTTATAATTACATGAGCAGAAATTGATCACAATGGTTTGAGAATAATAGATTTACCATCTAAGATAATACTAGACACGAATGAATGAAAATAGAGGATTTATAATGCCGGTCCTAAATAATTAGATACGGTTTATGATGATGTTGCTGCTGCTGTTTGGTGGCGTTGCTGCCCGCCTTTTTTTTTTTTTTTAAATTGACCTGAAAGTTCTGTTGATTTTAATCATGGACTGTTGGTAGGTAGCTTGTTAATTCTTTCATTGTAATGTCATAATTTATGGATGCTATCGTGTGTGATTTGGTCTCCCTAATATTGCTGAAATGGTGCTATCAAATGACCTGATTTTTGTTCTTTTTTTACTTTTATTCGTCTAATATCTTTTTTAGCATTCAAACGTTCATTTCAAGCTGAATAGGCTACGAATTTTAAACTACATTATATAACACATGGGTTAAGTTTCTGAAGATCAAATTTTATACCACGATGGATGCAAATTTTACCAGTAAAGTAAAACCAAGGTTGAGAAGCTCATTGGTTCTGATTTTTCACATTTGAACTCGCAACAACTAATTAGGTTTTAACTACAGTTCGATGGAGTTTGAATTGTGTGATTAAAAATCCCTACTTAGGTGCTGCTGCATTGAAGAACATGAATTTTGAAATATTCATATTTCCAGTATTATGGTTGGAAACTTGGTTTCATTCTTGGTAGTATGGATGAATGAACTATCAAATGGTTCACAAGGCTATCTTCATATAATTTCTCTTGCAACTGAATGTACTCTGGGCAGTTGTTTAGGATTTATAGATTGAAATGCTTGTCACAGCATCTTATCCCTAAATGTGTACTAAGGCTGATATGGAGTTAGCCAGCTCAACTGGAAATCAAATTTTAGTTTTCTATTTGGGTTGACAAAAATCAAATTTGTGTCAATTTCTCTACCCAAATCTCTTAATCAAAGAAATTTTTTCTTATGTATATTTTTACATGGAAGTTTGAAGAATGAATTCAGAGAAGTACCTGAGCGATAAAAGGTAACATCCCCAAAAGAATGTGCAATTAAAGTCAAGACTTTGCCAAAACCCATATTTTCAGCATTCAAAGGATTATATTTCTGAATGAACTGTTAAAGCATGCTGAAAACTCTTTCTTAATCCAATTTAACAATAGTTCGGGTAGAATCAGTCTCAAGAACCACCGAAAGTGGGCAAACTCACCACAGAGCTCTGGAGAGGACTCCATTGATTAAATAGCAGAAATGCCTTGAATGCAGATTAGCAACTATGAGAAAGAAACTGTACAGAAGTGAGCTGAGCTGATTGCAGCAGACAAGCAAGATCAGATCAATACAAGAAGTATCACAACACTCCAAAAATAGTCTGAATGATTCTCCTTTTCTGCCTTGGAACTTGCAAGCCTTGTATCACACTCAATAGCTCCACCAAATTGTTTTTGAAAAGCATCTTTTTACATCTCAGCCCATTACGCGAAAGATTATTAGTGCCCATGCAAAAGTTAATTAGAAAATGTTTCAGATTGGCTGGAATTTTTTATTTACAAGCATTTAAGAGTCGTGAGCTTGTAGGTTGCTTCCAGTTCCAGCTTAAAAATAATGCAGCCTGCAAAAAAGCCAAAAAAGACGTGCAATCGATTGGAGAAGAAGCGACAGTAATGAGGAAACTTCGTTGATTGGAATCTTACTAAAACAGCTCTAATTTGAACTTTAACTAAGGAAGCTGTTTCAGCCATCTGATGAAAAAAAAAAAAAAAATCAAATAAGAGTAATGTTCACGCAGCAAATCAAGCTCCGTATAACTCTTGAGACTAGCGAACACATATGAAATAATCATCCATCTGGACGTAGAGTGAGGTTCGAGCATAAAGACAACTGAAGCCATGAATAAGTACCTACAACGGAAGGTGAATTAGGTAGAGACCTCAAAATCAGTGCTTCTTTCAACAGAGAATAGCGAGACTAGTCGGTGCAAACTCTCCAACTACTATTGAAATATTCACATGACAACAACGAAATGCCCAAATTATTGAGGAAGTTATATGACATTGGCAAAATATGAAAAGGGACATCCCATCAAATAAAATATTAAAAAAATTGCATCTTTGCTCATTAAACTCATCAAAGAAGAAGTAGAAAAGCTACTTACCACAAACTTCATTAGGGAAGTTCAATATTCGAATTGGAACTCTAACATGGTAATGGTATAGAAAGCAACATGTAAGTGGAGAATGTCCGTAGACTTCACCAATTTGAACTCAACATACACCAAAGATGGATACCCCCTTCTAAGGATCAAGGCCTTAATTAATTGCGCAATAGGCTATCCTATAATGAGCTTCTTGGTTGTCTTCTTAGGCTACCACCAGATCAAGATGCACCCCAAAGATTATGAGAAAATCGCATTCACCACAGTAGAATGACTGTACTGCTACAAAGTCATGCCCTTTGAGTTGAAGAATGTTAGGTCCACTTATCAAAAGATGATGGACAAAATCTTCAAAGAATAGAATAAAAGAAACATCGAGGTTTATGTAGACAACCTTCTAGTTAAGAGTCAATCTCCCGACCAACATATCAGAGACCTCCAAGAGATGTTCCTTACCATAAAAAATGCAACATGCTGTTAAATCCTTTGAAGTGCACCTCTGAAGCAGACACATGTAAATTCCTACGGTTCCTTCTTATACTCGACTGAATCAGAGTCAACCCTGATAAGACACAGGCTATACTGGAGATGAAGACACCCAAAATTGCCAAGTCCAACGACTCACCAACAGAATCACTAGACTCAAACATTTCATCTCTTGACTCTAAGAAAGATGCTTCCCCTTCTTCAAAATTCTAAGAAATGTGAAGAACTTTTCTTGGGGAGAAGATTGTGAAATTGCTTTCCAGCAACTAAAGACCCTCCTCACTTTGTCACCTCTTCATCAATGCCCACACCCGGGCGAAAATTTATTATTGTATCTTGGAGTCGGTAAAGACGTTGTCAGTTTTGTACTAATTGGAGAAGAAGGAAAAAAAATAATGGCTCATCTATTATCTGAGTCACATGCTCCTAGGTGTGGAGCAAATATATCCCATCATGGAGAAACTTGCATGGACACTTGTCAACTCATCCAAAAGATTGCGACCTTACTTCCAGGCCCACTTTATCCAAGTAGTAACCAATCATCCCCTTAAGGTAGTTCTCACTATACCTGATCACTCGAGCCTGTTACTCAAATGGTTTGTGGAACTCAACAAATTCTGAATCACCTATACACAAAGGATGACCATTAAAGCTCAGACACTTGCCAATTTTCTCGTAGACTACACCAAAAAGATTCAGATTTATAAATAGCAACACAACCTCATTGGACGTTAATATAGATGATGTCCCAGGTGAGCAAGGAGTTAGTTCATGCATAGTCCTTAGAAGCCCAATAGGTTTTGTAGTCACTCAAGCTGCAAAATTTGAATTCAAGGTCACTAACAATTAAGCTGAATGTGAAATTTTATTTGCCAGCTTGCGATTTGCCTTTGAACTAGGCATTACTCAGTTAGAAGTGTACTTGGATCACAACTGATGATGAATTAGATCAACGATGAATATGAAGTCAAAGATGAGGTACTCATGAAGTATCTTTTCAAAGTCAAAGTAGAAATCAACAAATTCGAGCACATCAAAAATTTTCAAATTCTCAAGAACCAAAATCAACATGTCGATCTCCTCTCTAAAGAAGGAAGCCCACCACAAACAGCTTCTCGTATGGATCTCAACACCTGACGTAACTAAAGAAGAAGTAATATAAGTAGAAATGGATCACCCAACTCTACATCCTATAAGTTTGGTTGACCCTTACATCAAATACTTGAAAAATCCAGATCAGTCAACACTGAGGTCGATGATCCTAAGTAATTTAAAATCAAAGCAGCTAAGTACTTATTACTCGACGTCAGCCTATTCAGAATATCTACTTTCTCACTTAATGTCAAGTGCATATAAGAAGAGCAAAAAAAAAAAAAAAAGCATTACTTCTGCTATAGCTCAAAATTTTCTTTGGACATACATTATATGTCGACATGAAGTACCTTCTACTACTTCACCATCTCGATCACGCCCACGAGTGCATTTCACCAGCATCATCTATCACAAGATTGCCACATAACTCAGCACATTCAATCGAGCTGTATGAAAGGCTGATAATACAACTTTTATACTTCATACATATTCTATTGTAACTCTTCAAGCCTTTTAAAATAGGGGAGAAGGGACGCACCAAAATATATAAAAACAAAGCAAAATACAACAAAATAATTCACGAGATGAGGAGGAGAGAGATGATGAGAAATAGGAGGGAGACAAGACAAAATGGAGAGAAATACACACAGAAATATTATTTTCTCTAGTTTAACTTAAACTCAGAGGTTAGAGCTATTGTACCTCTTTATTCTTATGTTTGTGATAGTGAAATAGAGGGGAGCAGTGAAAGCCTTAAGTGTTGGCCCGTGTATATTGGTGTGGGTTGCATGCTAGATTGACCGGGGTTTTCACTGGCCTAAGGACAATGCTTCCTCGTCATAAAAAAAAATGAATATTATATTCAAATTCATTTTCTATCTTTGCATCTATCTTTCTTTCTAGCTTCATCATCCTTGCCTACAGATCATAAGCCCATAAAAAATTCAAAAAAAAAAAATGATCTTACATCATCCATCAGATAAATTAAGATCATCTATCATGCCAACAACCACTAGCTGCCTGAGTAGGTGAAATTATTCTATGGGGTTACTGGATGCTGTTCGAAGACGAATCAGGATGTGCTCTTTTAATTTTTAATTAATTATGTTTCCAAATATTTTACTATTTTAATTTTAATTTACATTTTTTTTTACTTCAAAAAATCAATGCGCTACGTCTACTCTCCCTTTAATTTTCATCAAACAAAAGAGTGCACGCCGGACGGATGAAGGCCTAGCTGCTGCAGGCGGAAATCTCCGTCTTCTGTCGGTCGACCAAGATTGGCTAATTCGCAAGTTTTCCTCCTTTCTCCACAGGCAAACAAGGCTTATCCCCCACTCGTTTTGTGTTATTTCTTTTCTGATCCCTGCTTTTACCAGTCTTTACCACGTCAGTTGATTCCAGGTTTTTTCAATTACGTGCATAAGCTTCAACCAAGGAAGATATAATCTCTTATTTGCCTCTGCGTTCTGGGACCATCACCGCTTGAAAGACTTGCACGGAGATCCGCATCAGGATTTCCCAATGGAAAAGGCTAAGGGTATCATTTCATATCGAGCCTCTTTTTTTTTTTTTTTTTTTATTTTCTGCCGATTGCTATTCTTTGTCTGATTCTTTGGGATAAAGCTACCTTTTTTTTCATTATTTTTTTTTGCAAATCTGATGCTTTTTGGGTTTTGATGAATTACTTTTCTATTTTTTGTTTTTATGAATTTAATTCTTGGCGACCATGTTTTAGATAATCACGCTCCGTACAAAGCTAGAACTGATTGCTTTCGCTGTTCTGCTTGGAATTTTTGTTCTTCAGATGTACATTTGAATGGGATGGGCATGTGTATATTTTATGATTCTTTTAATTAGTTTGAAATAAAACTTAATTTCAGTAGATAACATAATATCCTACTGAGGTGGAGTATATTTCACTCTTTCTGGCTCCTCTGTACTCCACGATTCAATTAGAAGAACATAATTTTAATGGCAAGATTTGTATTTTTTTTTTTTTTTGGAAAAATTTCGTGCCAAAAATTGAGATTTGTGGTTGGATGCCTAGAAAAACTGTATCTTGGAATAAGCCTCTGCCTTCTGTGGAGACAATTTCTATAAATGCATAAATATTGATTTAAAAAATGTTTTGATTTTTTACATGGGACACAAATCCCAATCTTAGATAGAGATTTTTTTTTACCAGCTCGTGGATTTCAGTGCAAATAAAGGTCTGCTGATGCTTAATGCTGCATTCGTTATGGAGTCAGGAAATTTTTATATGATTTTAGCCCCAATACATACATGCTATCCTTTTTGACAATTGCATATGCTTGACAAGACCTGCTGGCAAGAATAGAAAATGAGAGAGATGGAGAAAATCTGTAATTTACTATGTCCAAAGAGTAATACAAGGGCTGCTTTAAATAGACAGCAGGCCAAGAAATTAAATGCAAGAAAGTACATAGAGATGAGACACGTAAGCAATGCTGACATGTACATCTATACTAACAAGCCACATTTTACCTACCTCAACTTGTGCACAAACTTCCGATTGTCCGATCAAATCCTTCCCTCCACGTATTCAATATCTAAAAGAGATATACATATCGTGTAAATATCACTAGTCCCCATATAAACTTTCTAAATCCTTAATCTATGATAAAAAAAAAACTCTTCCCTATGCTATGTCCATGCTCTCAAATTAAACCCCTTTACCATTTCATGACATATATCATTCCTATTTTTTTCTAAATTAGGATTTAGTCATAATCTTAAATTTTTATGCATGCAAAAATCTTTTCTTACACTCAAATAGTAATTAAAATATAAATAATTTTCTAAATCTTTTAAATCAAAATATAGAAAAACTAGTATTTTATGCAATTCCCTAAATTTGCCTCTAAAAACCTTCCCAAATCCATTTAGAACCATAAAGCTAAAAAATTTCATGATTAGGGAAAACCCTAATTTCTAAAACTTAAAAATTTTTCACAATCTTGCATTATTTTTCAAATAGAGGCTCTCTTATGCCATTAGGAGTTACTTTTGTGAAGGCATTTCAAAAGAAAATCACATTGAGTGAAACCCTAACTTTAAAATCCACATTTTTCATGAAATCAACTCATATTTGGGTTTAGGAACACCCTCTTACCCTTCCCTAAACTTATCTCAAAGAAAACTCAAGTTTTTACAAAACTCTAGTTTTTTTTTTCTTTAGAAAATCTCAAGGGAAAATCATGAAAAAGATGTATGAGAACTCACCTTACTCTTCCCAACAACTTTCCTTCAATCTCCCTCGCAAACCACCGCCGGAAACCGTCTCTAGGACCGCCGGATTCGCCTCCTACCCGACGCCCTTCTCCCCTTTCTCCGCTCGGTTCGAGCCGCAAGAAGGAATGGGGACCGAAACATTTCGGTCCCCTATTTAGAATAGAATGCCCTCTTTAATTGCCTATTGACCTAAAAGCCCTTACTTAAAATCATCTCTACTCAAATGACATGAAGGGCAAAGTTGTCATATTAAGATTTCTGGAAATTTTAACTCCCAAAATAATTAAAATCCGATATGGGTTCTTTATATCAACTCGCTCAGAATTTTGCGCACTATTTTATAAAATTTATTGCGTCGAATTCCGACGACTTTGAATTTTTCATTTAGAATTCGTCGCGAGGCATCGAAAAGCGTGCGAAGTCTAAAATGCCATTTTGCGGGTTTTACAGTAGAGCTGAGGGTTAGGATGGGCGTATTATTGGAATGTTTGGAGGTGGATGTTGGTGTGATCACTATCGGAAACGGATTACAATCTGGGAACCCAACCGTTTTAAGTAGATTGGTAGCATAATGTTGAGTGTCGAGGAAGAGATGCTGAGGAAGAGATCGACATTACCTAATTGTTGATCTTAAACGTTGAGTGCAATTGAGTGAGAAGCCGCTGAATGGTGTTATCATCGTTGCCTGTAATTAAAATGTCATCAACATAAATTAGAAAGTATAACTGAATGTTATTTCTGTGGTATAGGAAAAGAGAGGGATCAGAACGACTAAACCTGAAACCGAATTGTTGGAGAAAATTGGCGAGTTTCTCAATCCACTGACGTGGAGATTGCTTGAGACCATAAATTGATTTATGTAATTTGCAAACAAAATTTGGATGTTGAGTGCCCGAAAATTCGGGAGGTTGCTTCATATAAATGTCATCGTGAAGATCCCCGTGTAGGAAAGCATTTGAAACGTCCAATTATAAAATGGGCCAATCTCGATGAAGGGCTAGAGTAATGAGTATACAGATAGTGGGCATCTTGGCTACATGATTGAAGGTCTCTGTATAATTAATTCCGAATTGCTAAGTGCATCCTTGAGATACAAGGCGAGTCTTATAGCGGTCTACTTGGCCGTTATGACGAAGTTTGGTTTTGAATGCCCATTTGCAGCCAAGAATCAATTTATTGGTAGGAGGAGGTACAAGGGACCTGGTGCCTTGTTGTTGCAAGGAAATGAATTCATTGGACATTGCTGACCGCCAATTCATATCTTGAGCAGCTTGGGAATAAGTGGAAGGTGTAATATTGGATGAAATATGAGAGTTAAACCAATAATTTTCTTGGGTTTAGTGATGCCCGACTTCAGCCTAGTTTGCATGGGATGGAGAGGTATGATGGACTGAGACCCCGTGATATTGTCTGAAGATGCATTGCTGTTTTGAACGGAGGTGGGAGGCATGATAGATTGAGAAGGTGAATGATGTAGAATGGAAGTGAGAATGTCAGTTGCAGTAGGAGTTTTGTAGGTGATCAAAGACATAGAAGTTGGAAGAAGTAACAGAGAAACAGATTGGGGCTGGGTTGTTTCCGAAGATTGGGAAGATGTGGTTTTATAGGGAAATATGTGTTCGTGAAAAACCACATGGTGAGATATGTGTATTTTGTGTGATTGTGGGCTCCGAAAATTCGGCCCCGGCCTCCGCTCGCTTTTCTTATTCGGCGAGGGAGTTTTAACGAACTAAGTTCCGGGGTAAATTTTGGAAGGCAGATGGGTTTGTAGATATGACACTACCCAGAGATTTCGCCCTCATTTTGTGAGGACTTTATGATCTGAGTTCTGGTTTCCTATAGGCGCAAGCCCCTATAGTTAAATTACCCCTCCCGATAACGAGAGAAACTTTCAATAAGGCTAGTCGTCAATCAGATACGTAGAGAATACGTGTTATCTGGCATATAGTAGCAGCAATGGATTTGGAAATTGGAATTTGAAGGGTTCGAAGAGTTTGGTATTTAAAATAGAAATTGCACCATCTAGCACTTAAAGCAGATGGTGGGGGAATGAATGATGGGCCCGATCAGATCCCATGTTCCGTCGTCCCGGGCCATCATGGTCCTGGTCTACTTAGTCAAAGGAGGTAGTCGACCCAACCTGACAGAAAGAGTCCTTGTCGGCAGCCATGGGTTGCTTCGTCCAAGGGACCTTTAGACCTGGGGTGGGTATTTGCCTAAGGGGACAAATTTGAATCCACCTTGCTTACAGAGGGCTTTGTGCCCTATCGATCATATCCTATGATTCATAATCTCAAGGATTTGATGCCAATAAGGAGCGTAACGGCGCTGCCATAACCGGTATTTCGTGGTGCCATTTGGCGGCAAAACCACTTGGTTCAGAGGGCCCCGGGTCATAACCGTTTATCCTGCGATGCCATGTGGCGGCAAATCGCCGGTTTAGAGGACACGTACCAGTCCTTACTAGCAGGAGATTGTCTTGAGAATGAATCTCTAGTGATATTTTCGACTAGGCATTTAACTCTTTGTGAGCAGAGTGTTTATTTTGAATTGTCCACCCCGCAGACTGTTGCGGAGGGTGGATGGAATTTGCTTTAAGCGATTAATGGATTGAATTTCAAATTTTGGGATTTTTGAGAATTTTATGTATTTTTTTGGATTTTTGGATTTGTGGATTTTGTGAAGTTTTTGGATTTTTATGGGTATTTGGTGGACTTTGGAATATGGATATTTGGAAGATAATTGAAAGTATTTGGAAACCTCCGGTTGAGTCTGAATTCAACACGGCCATCATCGGGGTTTAGGGATCATTTCTTTTTATGGATCGAACCTTGTCAACTCTGTCGGGCTGTCGACAGAGAATTGGGTTTCGTAGGCTTTATGCCTCATCAGTGAATTCTCTTTGTTATAGGCCTTTAAAGGCATAATATGAATGTATTAAGATAAATATACCGGTCGTAGCAACCGTATATTTGTTTGAGAAGTTCGAACCTTGTCGACTCCTATTTGACCCGTATAGGAGGATCGGATTCGAACTAGAATTCACTTGTCAACCCGCGCAGCATCCCTAGACGTCAACGTGTGTACCATAAACGCTCGCTGGGGCCCATGCGGGTTGAGATTTACTTTCCCCTTTTAGTGTACCTATGTATATACAATTTATAGTGCATGTGCAGGGGTATTTATAGAATAGACGCCTTCTGTCTGCTTGTACGAATTTGCAGATCCGGTGCGTATCGAGCAGCTTCTGAATTGAGTTATTCGCTGCTTTGTACAGGTAGACTG